GATTTTCTGGAATTTTGATTTTTTGAAATATTTTTTATAATATCTCTAAACTAATCATGTCATATATTTTGACAATATTTTGAAATAGGATTTATTTTATAGATTACCAGAAGAAGGTTTAGGATTCAAACCTACCTGGTTACAAAAATTTATCACCTTTATGATTGATTAACTGGCTTCTAATTTATATCATATTCAATTAGTTAAATAAACAAAAAATTAATTCCAAATTTAGTTAGGTTGCATGAAGATAAGACTTCTGGTCTTCTTGATGATTGTGAACTAAAAACAAGTTGAAACAAGAAAAGTTGCATAAGGAAAGACTTCTGGTTTAACTTTGATAAAAAGTCCACAAAAACTTAACCCAAATTGATAATGACAGATTCTATTATACAAATTTTAAGAGGTTAATCCTAAGTTGATCTATTTCAATCTGAAGCTTATAAATATATCTCAATTATAGTTAATCAAGTAAGTTTAGTGAAGATCTATAAGATTAAATTAGAATTCAAGCAAGGATATCAGTTTCACAGATAGTGAAAATGGTAGTACTAATTATACTAATAGTACATATTAAGGATCAGTAATAACAGTGATTAGAATATTGGAATTAATTTCTATAATAATATTTTGCAATGTGTCTTATCCATAATAGATACAGTTAAGACAGAACCTAGTAGGTAAAGATGGATTTCTAAATTAAAGGTGAGAACATAATTCAAATGTCCTTTACTATTAAAAAAGTTTTTTTTTAAATATAAGGTTAAAAAAAAACCACATATAAAGATTTTTTGCAATTTAGATTATTTGATCCAAGTGTTTTTTGAATTATGTTTCTATTAAAGTAATGAATAAATAATTATATCTCTTCAAAAAGAATATAATTGATCTATGAAATTTTATATGCTAAATAATTTAGGGATCCATCTTTACTAGTAGGTTAAATGATTTAAACCAGTGATAGGATTTTTATTTTTATTTTTATTTTTTTTTTTCGGATGAAAGATGCTTTGTGCATATGCGTTTTATTGAGTAATTTATGTCCAATTACAGATACACTAAGGTTCATTTAAGTTAACCTTGCTTCTACACCTATAGACTTATCCAGTTATACCAATTGAACACCTTGAAAGTGGATCCGTACCCTAGGTGGGATCTTTAGGGGATAGAAAATCCTACCACTAGTTTATAAACTATCTAACCTAATCTAGATCCTGAGTGATAGGATTTTTATTCTTCTATATAAGTTCTATTTAATGTATAAACTATCTACTTGATATTTAAAGTTTTATATACTAAATAGTTAAAAGCTAATTACAGATAATATGAATTAGTAATATTAATTTTTAAAAAAATTTTATTTATCAAAATAAATATTATCTTTAATTCTTTATTTTTTTTTTTTTTAATATATTTTTTTAAATAAAATTCAAATATAGTAGTGTCTTTTATATATTAGTGAAGTTTTGACATATTAAAATTGACTTTTATATTATATATTATAAGACAAGCTTATTAATTTAAAATTGATATTTGAAAAAATTCCAATATGGCCTATTATATAAAAAAGAATTGATATTATAATATAATTAGATATATTGTACTTTATATAATATATGTAAATCTATAATATTAATAAAATATATTGAATATGACTCCAGTTAGTAAGAAAAAAAAATATGATAATCTTAATTATATATACAGTATGGTGTAAAAAATTTTGGAATATTATTTATATAATATAAATATATATAACTTTTTCAAAACAAAGGCAATTTATATAAAATTTTAAATATATAAACAAGATATTCCAAACAATATATATAGGTATTTAAATTATTAGATCATTTTACTTTTGTTACAAACTTATTTTTACAATGTTATCTTTTAAAAAAAATACTCAATAACAAATTATATTATATTTGTGAAATAATAGAATTACTTTTTCATATGAAATATATTTCAAAACTGATATAAACATGTCAATTATCTATTACAATCTCAAAAAATTAAATTTAAAAGGCAATAATTCAAGAAAATCTGGTAGTAGTTATCCTAAAAAGATTACAGCACATGAATCAAAAGCAATTGATCAATATTTATATTATAATTCAAGACTTTTCTTAAGAATTTTGACAATTAAATTATCAAATATTAATATCAAAATATCACATTTAAAAGTTTTAAAATATTTGACCAATATAGATTACAAAAATAATTTATCTTTAAAAATACTTATGCTTACTATTGCTCATAAGAAGCTCATATTATTTGGACAAAAAAATATCTTGATAATAACTGGAAAAAACATTATTTTTTGATAAAACAGCATTTCAACTATTCAGAAATACAATTACTCAATAGTATAAAGGTGCAAGACCAGTTAAAAGAATGTCTAAAGATTGTACTAAAATCTTTGTATAGAAAGAATTTTATACAAAAGAAAAAACTTTTCTTTTTTGTTTTAAAGAAATTATGGATGTAAAATTTTATATCAATATTTTGTAAAATCATAAACAAGAAATTAACAAACTACTTAGAAACAATTGATGCTTTTAACAATATAATGATTTCAAGCATATAAGTAAAATTGATAAAGCATTTTTAAATGTAAATTTTTTTGAAATTATTGATTGACCTTCTAATAGTTTAGATTTGAATTCTATTGAAAACCTTTGAGATATTATTAAAAAAAATGTAAAAATAAGATTACCAAAAAATATTTTAGAATTAGAACAATTTATAATAGAAGAATATGATAAAATTTTAAATAAGATTTTAAATAATTTTATAGATTCAATAAAAGAGAGATGTGAATTAATAATTGAAAATAATAGAGAAAAAATTAATTATTAATTATATATTAATAAAATCTCTAGATTTTTAGCTTTATTTTGATATATTTTTTATTAATTTTTATATAGTAGTTTTTGAGTAATAAATAAATAAAAAATTTTAAAATTTTTTATACCACACTGTATCTAGTCTAACCATTAATAAGTAAACAATACTGAATTTGATAATAATAATCATGTTGATCTTTTGAAGAGAAGCCATCTATTATTTTTTATAAGATCATGAAAGAAAGTAAAATTCTGAAGCTCATGTCTTGAGAGAAGTTACCACTTTTGAATATGGTCTTTGAAAAAAAAAAGTCAACTGGTTAAAGAATTGATATTATGGAGAGTAAAGTTTATAAAAGAAAAAGAGGCTTAGAAAAAAAAACCTTCTGGAAAAAGAAAAATCTAATATCAGCAAGAAAAAAGAAAAGGTAAAGGTAAAATATATATAAAAAGTATATAGAAAAGAAGAAATAAAATAGGGAAAGGAAAATAAAAAGATATGGAAGAAGAGAAATAAAGAAGAAAAAAAAAAGAAGTGAAAAAAAAGTAAACACTTAAAATTTTCTAAAAATTTTTTTTTTAAGTATAGAAGAAGGAGTAGAAAAAAGTTTTTTTTTTTATTATGATTTTAAATATTTTTTTACTAATAGTTTTTATTTTTATTATTTTTTATAAATAAGGATATTATATATTAATATATAAAAATTTAAAAATAATTAAAATTATTTAAATATAATAGAATTAAATTAAATAAAATCAATTAAATTAAATTAAATTAAATTAAATTGTATTAAATAAAATTATATCAAATAAAATAAATTTAATTTAAATAGAATTAAATAAAATCTAATCAAATTGAATTGAATTAAATTGAATTAAATAGAATCAAATCAAATCAAATCAAATCAAATTAAATAGAATCAAATCAAATCAAATCAAATCAAATTAAATCAAATCAAATCAAATAGAATAGAATAGAATTAATTTGATTTAATTTGATTTGATTTTTATTTTATTTTAAATTTGAATCAAATTGTTAGAATCCTTGGTTATTATCTTTTAGCAAAAACTGGTTTAAGTTATTTTTACTAAAAAATTTAATAAAAAAAGCCAGAAAACTTTACTTATAGATTTTGTATATAAAACAAGTATTAAGATTTCATTAAAAGTGTATCAACTTTTCAAATTCTAAAGTTAAAAAACATTACTATGTATAGATCTTTTGCAAATATTTAATAATATGAATTATTTTTTTTTTTCCTATAAATTATCAAACTTTTTTTCTTGACAAAAACAATTAAAATGTATTTTTGTCTATAAAGATAATCCTTTTCCAACCAAAATTCTGATGCTGTTTCTCCATTTTAACTAATTTTTCCAATGGTTTTCTATAAACAAAGGTTTCAAAATTTTGTTAACATATTTTTTTTGACTTATTAATATACTGTTTAATAGGTTTTACATTAACCTTAATATCTCACTTGTTCATATTTTGTTATTTTTAGATGCTTGTAACATGATGTTCGGTTTTTGTTATTTTTACTATTTTTTTCTTTTTTCACTATTATACTATACCATCAACCCTCTTTTTTTTTTATATTTAGGTTATTTGAGATTTTACATTTTTGTAGTCAATAAGCTACAATAGATTTGGTGCAACCAATGTAAGCTAATAATTTTTTATAATTTCACTGTGGTCCTTGAGGATTTTCACGCAAAAAAAACAATTTCATATTGTTAATAAAGAAAAAGAAAAGATATTTTTTAAGCACAAAATTTATCAATCATCTAACTCTTGCTACATACATTATACAAACCTATAATTACACAAACTTATAAAACTAGTATTATTCTTAAATCCTGGAAATTTTGAAGAGGCATTATCATATGATTTTGAAAAATTAAGGGATACAGATACTTATGACCACTACTGTGTTTAAATAATTTATACAAAATTTAAAATTTTATATTATTTTAAATATATATTTTATAAATTAATATATAACAGTACATTACTACGTATTTATACAGTATTATGGAACAATCATGTGATTGTGATCTCGAGGTCAACATAGACATAAAATTTAAATGCGAATTTTCTTCGTGGAAATGTGATACATGGACAAGATATACTGTAGTATGTCATTTCATAACATGTTAATTCAAAAGGTCAAGTTCAAAGTAAAATGAAATTGTGCCTGAATTTCATAATTGCACAATGTTATGCTCGATCTCGTGATTATACAGAAAAATACGTATAAAAAAAAGTTGAAAAATCTCGCTAATAACGCAACATTCTTTTTGAAACCACGAAATTTCAAAAATTAATCACAGGTATTATTTAACATATAAGTAACTAATCAAAATAATTAGTAAAAATGATTTTGAATCAATCCTACACATGTTTATTCGCGTGTCCACAAGGACGAATGCTAATACTTGAGAATGATGTAGAGGGCATGGATAATCCCTGTAAACAGAAACGAAAATATGTATATGTTTATAATATTCTTTGGTTATGTAATATCAAGTAACAAGTAAAACAAATTGCTTATAACCATGTTCTTACCAGGAATATAACCGAGAATAGTCAGCAAAATGTTAATGCAAAAATCGACATTGCAACCGCGTTCGAGAAAAACTCCAAGTGGTGGAAGAAATATTGCTGCAATAATCTTACAGATATCGGTTGCAGTGAACGGCATCTTCAATTTTATTTTTTTTACTTTAGTTTTCTTCGAAAGAAAGGATGATTTGAATTATATCAAAAATTGAAAGAAACGTAAAAGTATCTTGCTGTGATTTTTTCTTTTTTCCTTCAAAAAAATGAAGTTCTGGAAACAAGATTCTTTTTTTCCTCGTATTTTTACCCCGCCTTTTAACCATTGCATCTGATGGGATCCTGATTAAATTTCACGCAAATACTGTGGCCTGACAAATCAAGAAATGACATCATAATGAATAAATCTTTGCCGAACAAATGAATATTACATCACCTTTAGGTAAACGTTAGATTTATTGTTACATCATAAATGTGCAAACTGTTTACATAATCTTGTGCACAATTCATTATAAAATTTAATGGATAAGCAACCTACTTTAATTCACCGAAACTCTTATAAGATGCTTAATATCCCGTTCCGTTCTTTTACATCGAATCTCTTGATCAGTAATTGAATCGAGCTTAGTTTGGTATGAATAACAATTATTATTGTAGAAATAGATCTATTTTGATCTTAGATTATTTTTAAGAATACGTAAATTAGGTAAGACAAAGCCTGTCCTCTTTAAATTCGACTTAACTGAGTTAAGCCCGGTCCCAAATAATTACATAGCACGTTTAGAATTAAGTAAAATGTCATTGAGCGAAACTAAAACTAGATATTTTTAACATAGTATAACTTAAAGCATTACTAAGAGGAATGATGTCGGCACTTTTTTTTGCCTACCTGTAAAGAGTGTACCTTGTTATGTCATTGTATCATTTGACGTGCCTACTACAACCAAGTAAAAACGCCTCTTTGATCGCTACACCACCGACAAGAGGCAGGCTCACATTTTAACCTCAATAATAACAAATTCAAACAAATTATAGATTTACTAAATTGGACTAGCAATATTAATTAAATTATGATTCATTTATAAGTTTGTGTATTAACACAATTGGGATATTTATCTTTAAAGGCGACAAAAAATGTTGAATACGATTTTTCGGTTCCTACTTTTTTAAGGTTTTATGGCAATAAATTTTACTTGCACAATTAATGACATTATAAATAAAGTTTATAAAGTAAAGAAAAACGAAAATTTTAATATACTGTATTATATTTCCGGTTGTTAAATTTATTCACAAATAAATAAATATTAAGTATTTGTTTTAAAAGCTTTGTTTCATCTAAGACTTATTTAAAAAAATTTTTTTTAAAAATTTAAAAATAATGTTTGATAAGAATTTATTTATTTAGTATATGATTTTAATATTTAAATAAATAATTTTAATGAATATTATTAAGCTTAGCATTATAAATAAATAAATAAATATTACCTTATTCAAATATAAATTTTCAACTACTTTATTAATTTTTTCAATAAATACAAGTTTTTAAAATCTTTTTTATATAACCAATTCTTACTTAAAATCAATTTATTCAATATTAAAAATACTAACAATATAATTAAACTTAACTATTATTTTGAATACATTATAAAAAACAACTATGATATAATTGATAAGTCAATAATTAAATTTCAAAACTTAAAAAAAAATTTCAAATTAAATAATCTCAATTAAAGCTATATAAAAGTTTTTATAATTTAATAAAAACTTTAAAACCAATTATACAAAAAAAAATTTTTTTTTAACTTAGAAAAACTTTATCATTTTATTAACAATAAAATTATTTAAACTTTATATATACTATTGAATTAAAAAAAATAAGTTCATTTAATTTTTTAAAGTTTATGCAAGTTATTTAAAATATTTCTATTTTAGGCAATTAAATATACTGTAATTACATATCAAAAATTAAAAAAATATCAATTTAATGAGGACAACTGGGAAATATTTGAGCAAATATAAAAATTTCTTGCATTATTTCAACAAATAATGACAATAATATTAGCAAAAACATATTCTATTCTTACTATGATAATTCCTTTATATAATTTATTGCTAGATCATATAGAAGATGTTAAAGACAACAATATATATTATATAACAGTACAAATAGCATTGAAAAAATATGTAGAAAAACTTAAAGAATATTATAACAAAACAAATATAACTTATATAGTGATTGTAGTTTTAGATCCAAAATTTAAAATGAAATATTATAATATAAATAATTGGAGTAAAGAATTGATTAATAAGAATTATGATAAGTAAGTATAATTTTTAATTTTAATTTATTATTATTAATTAAGTATTAAATATATAAAATTTTTAGCTTTCTAAAAGTTTTTAAAGAATACAATGAATTAAACTCACAAAAAATTATAACAAGTAAAGAAAAAGAAAAAAAAAAGAAACAAGTGATATTATTTGTTCCAAATTATTTAAATAGTAAAATATAGAAAAAAAAAAGAGCTGAAATTATATCTTTTTTACTTTGTACAATAGAAGAAACAAATATATTAGAATGGTGGAAGGTAAATGAATACCAGTTTCCAGTTTTAGCATGTATAGCATGTAATTATTTAGCAATATCTGCAATAAGTATACCTGCAGAACAGATATTTTTGACTAGTAAAAATTTAATAATTAATACAAAAAACGGTTTATTAGATAAAACAGTTAGAGTATACATGTGTTTAAAACTGTGGTAGCAAGAAATTTTAGTAAACAATAGTTAAATTCTATTTTTATATTATATAATTTTACTAGTATTATATACTTATAGTGATTATTTTTTTATTAATTAATAAAATATTTTTATTTATTATTCAAACCAATTATAACAATTTGAATTTATATATTGGTCTGAATATTTTTGATCACTCTCTAAAATAATTTCTTTATTTTTTTCACTATTTCTTTTTAATGATTCTATTAAAATATCGTAAGCTAATAAATCTTGTTTCAATTATTTTGATCAGTATTTTACATGTTTTGTTTCTTCAGTTTCTTCTTGTTATTTTTTAATAAGATTTTGAGAAAAATTACAAGTTATTCCTTTAGCTGGTAAAGCTGTTGTACCATGTAAAATATCCTCAAGCCAGCAAAATAAAATATTGTCTAAATAATAAAATTAAATATTATTAATCTAATCATTAAATATTGTTAATATAATTGTTAAATATTTAAATAGTAAATACAATTACCTGTCATTTTCAACAATATTCCATATTCAGCTATATAAAAATTGCTTCCACTAAAATTACCTTCACAATGTATAAATATCAGATCATTTTTATATCATATTCCTTGCATACAACAGGCAGCAATTGCATAATCCAAGAAATTATTATTGATGTATATAAATTTTGCATACCTCCAGGCTGCATAAGCTTCACACAAACTGAAAGGATAGTTAAGTTTTATTTTTTTGTTAGCCAGTTTAATAACAAACTCTTTATCGACAGCTCCATACTTGTTGTTATTGAGTCTTGGCAGGTCATGTTCAGTTAATTTATTGTTTATACCAGATATAACATCAGGTGAAAAAAGACCCATTGTATAATTAAAAAGCAATCCATTGATAGCTACTACTTTTTCTTCATACAAATATTGCTCTTATATATTACAAAGGTTTTTAGGTATATTGAAAGCATGGGTAATAATTCCACACTTTCGAGTTACAAAGTACCTGAATCAAATATAAATAAATAAATACAAGAAAAAAACTAAACAATAAATTAAATATATATATACCTAGCAGTTGTTATTACTCCTTGATTTAATTCAACAATTTTTTTTGGCCATGCAATCTTGTGCTGAATGTTTATTATTTCTTTAATTGTTTCTTGCATAAGTTTCAAAGCATCAATACCTATGCGATTTTGATAAACTATCAAGATAACTTTTTTCATTATACTGTCCTGAAATATTATTTCTTTATTCTCATTAACAACTCTCGTTAGCAATGTATTTATTTCAAGAGCAGGAACTATAGAAAGAAAAGGATTGGTTCTCTTATAAATCCAAGTACCTTTTACCTTTTGAGAATCAAAATTGGACAAGAGGTTAATATACTTTACAGGCCAACCAAAGATTACAGTTTCGGAGCATTTACTTATATCTCTAGCACTTTGCATTGATAGGGAAGTTATAAAAACAAATATTATCATAACAATAAACATCTTCTGCCAAGCAATTGACTTCCAATTTTTTTTTACTGTATCATAAATTGTTAACAAAACCTCTCCACTATTTATCCTGTAAATATAAGTATAAATTTAATAAAAACTATCAATATTTTAAAATATATTATAAAACTTATAAGGCTAAAAGAATCTCCAAAGCTGAAATTAATATTATTTCATATTGCAGAAAGTGTACCAACAGAGTCTTCGAGAAATTGCCAATATTTATTGACACTGGCAGACTTGAATTCAGTCAAAAATTGCAGAGTTGTATCATAAGTTACTATATGAAATTAATTAGTGTAACATTAACAACTGGCCAATAATAATTAATTATTTTTATATTTTATCAAATCATGCAATTTAAAGTAATTACTGCTTTATATTTTAAATTTACTTTTGTAAAGCTACAACTTGTCACACATTGAATCAGGGTTGCTCACAAGGTTTATAATATTGCTCTATACTATATTGCTGGTTTAATTTCCAGCATGCTGCTAATTAATTTAAATATGCTATCTTGTATCAAACAACTACAGTCAGTATTTATTTGCCTTGCATCAAATTAGGATTGCCTACTGATCACAGCCTTGACATTTAACTTTATACTGTTGCAAAACCAATATATATCAAAAACTTGACTCTATATTAAACCAGGATTACCAACTGGTTACAATCTCAATCAAGCAAATGACAATAGCTATTTTCAAGTATATCGACTTGACAAGTTCTACATCAAATCAGAGTTACCCACTGGTCACAGTTTTAACTCATTTAATAGTCGATAATAAGTATGGAAGCAAAATAGGCATGACAGTAAACCACCTTACATTAAATCAGAGTTTTCTATTGGTCGCAGTCTTGATAGGAATATTTGATTGATGCCAAGGTATTGTTGCTTTAT